TTAGCATTAGTTATGCCATTTTTAATCTTGAAGAGGTTCCATTTACATTAATAAAGAAACTGTTGATTCTGGTTTGACTAAAATACAATTGAAATGCTGACATTATTTTATAAACATTATTTGGACTCATGTTTATAACTGTATCTTGTACAAATTAAAGATGGCTTCAACAGAGTCTTTCCAATGGAGAAGCTGAGTTCCTTCAGCCATGAAGAGGTTCAGATGATTCTTTGTGGAAATCAATCGCCTTCTTGGGCAGCTGAGGATATCATCAATTATACTGAACCCAAACTGGGATATACAAGAGATAGGTACTTATATTCTGAGTGATTTTAAAGTAGTAGCTAAAATATAACATTAAGTGACAAAATGTGCAGAATATTCTTTAGATGAAGATGCCAAATTGGGTGGGATTGGTGGGTCCTGAAGAGCAAGTGATTGTCTAAAATGGCATGAAATAACCATGTATGTTACAACAAATAGTTTAGAAGGTACTTGGTGGTTTTGTGATGAGAGAGAATAAGAAAATTACTAAAATGAGAACAACTAGTAAAAATGTAATGGCAGCTAACTAATACAGACTATTAAAATAGCATTTTAGAGTTTTTATTCTCATGTTAGGTGGTTATAACTTTTTTTTTCAGTTGGGTACAATTGCTACTTGGCCTTATTTCTTATTTCTTATTTCTCTTCAAGTGTACTATGCAGGGGACAAATGTATACTGGTGGTTGTCTATCAGGATGTGGTCTTGGTGTTTTGGGGTTTGTTAGGTTTGGGGGTTTTTTGCTGCTTGTCATGTTTGGTAGCAATAACACACAAATCACTTCTGGAACTGTGTTAGTGTAAGTCTGCTGAAGGATCCAAATCAGTCTAAGATTGTGTGGAGCAATTCTTCCATTGACCCTGCCCTGCATGCAAAGATGTAGCTGAGATTACAGTGCCTTATACCTGAGGCAGTGTTTCAGCAGGCTGTGCTTTCTTCATGCCCTCTCTTTCCCCTCGTTCCCTGGGTTCTTATGGATGAAAGCAGCAGAGGATTTCTTGAACATCTATTGTAGTCTGTTATATTTTTCCTACTTTTTTCACATAAGGGTCTAAAACAGGATAGAAATGAAATGAAATATAAATTGACTTTATACTGTAGTACTGGTACAGAAAAAGTCTTCAAGATTATAGGCAGTTGGATTCTTCTCGTAGAATGTTTGAGCTCTATCTACTTCTCTACCCATTCATATGCAAGATACCCAAATAACACTCCAAGATAAGTATGTACCTACGTTCTTCTGTGTAATACTAATACTCAGCAAGGAGATTAAAGAAGTATTTTTATAGATTTTAAGCTTTTTTTATTCTTAACTTAAAACTCAACAGGCCCTAGAATCTTATGATGTCTGCTTAAACATGACTAAAGGTTGTAATTTGAATGTCTTAAGAGAAATTAAAAAAACCCACATGCTTTCTTGTAACGTTACCAGAACTGATTATTTTGATTTATTTTAAGCCCTGGATTCCTTCGATTTGTGAGAGTCTTGTGTGGTATGTCTTCGGATGAGAGGAAGGCTTTTCTCCAGTTCACCACTGGTTGTTCAACACTCCCACCAGGAGGACTGGCCAACCTACATCCCCGGCTCACTGTTGTACGCAAGGTACGGCTTATTCAGGTCACCCTTTAAACCAGCTGGTTTGGCTTTGAATGGAATCATTTCTATGTTAACAGTGATGATTTTTATTTTATTTTCAGTTAATTTATGGCACTATGCTAAGCTTTCAGTACTAACCTCTGCTTCAGATCTGTTCTCTGACTTCCTATATATATATTTTGTATTTAATATATTTCATATATAAAATATAGTTCATATATTTATTTTTAAAGTGTCATTGTACAGATAAAGCAAACATATTTATAAGTTGGTCTGTAGCTTTGCTGATGCTACTGTTTCTTGACAACTGGTGTTACAAATGCAGTAAGTGCCATAAATTACAGGACTTGACAACTTTTAACTTCCATATAGAGTGCTGCAAACAACTGCAGTAAACATTCTTTTTTTTTTCCTCAGGTTGATGCTACAGATGCAAGTTATCCATCTGTGAATACATGTGTGCATTACCTAAAGTTGCCTGAGTATTCCTCGGAGGAGATTATGAGAGAGCGTCTGCTGGCTGCTACCATGGAGAAAGGCTTCCATCTCAACTGAGCTGCTGGCCACAATATGGAACATGGAAGTGTTTTTTGATACTAGCGAAGCCTCTTGTGTTTGTGTGCAAAAAATATGATCTCCACGCTGTGCTCTGACGAGACTTGCCTTTTTTCACCTGTGAGGCTTTAGGAACATGTGGAATGTTTGTTAGCTGCTAATGACAAAATAAATCCCTGTAACTACACAGCCAGCAAGAAATTGGCACAGAACACTGTGTGATGCTTCAAGGGCTTGCACAACTGGAAATTAAGGTGTTTCTGTTTGACTGTTCCAAAGAACAGATCATCAGATTTTCAGTGTTCACTGATACAAATTTCTAACAGTGTATTGTGTAAAGTTCGTCATTTAATACCTTGTACACTACAGTTGCCATCACTGATCCCTGTTTTGCTGGCTTTAAGCTAACTGGTCAGAAATTTGTTTCCTTTAAAACTTAGAGTTAATGGGCATCTCCAGCCTTTTCTTTTTTAATGGTGCCTGCACTATTGGAGTATTTTAGTGGGTTTTTGCATATAATCATGCACAACCATTTTTTTTCTTCTTTTTCTTTCAAGTGGGAATATATTTTGATTTCTCAAATGCCCTGCTATAAAGATCAAATCCTTAAGTGTGTTTGTGCAGCTCAACAATAAAGCTATTAAAAAACACTGGTTCCTAGTGCAAGGCACACTTAAAGCAAGTTTTACTTTTGGTTGTGTTTTCTTTGTATATTATAAACATTTATTTAACTTGTTGCAGTTTGAAGTTTAAAAAAAACCACCCAATGTGTAAGCTCAAAAGTAATCATTAAAATGTTTGCAACATATAAAACTGTCTCCTCTGAATACTTCATTAGTACTTATTAAATCTTTATACATGTTCTGGACAATGTGCCATACTTTTTTAAAGGTTTAAAAGAACTATTGATCTCACAAATTCATTGCTGTGTTCATATCTTTTCAGAATTAGACAATGCAACTTTCTAAGAACTAGCCTGGGAGTGATAACCCTGCATGTGGCAGGTTTTGGTGCTCTGCAGTGAACCCGTTGACCTGAGGTTATAGGTCTTCACTGCATTGGAATAAAACCTGGGTCAGATGATACAGCTGATTCAGCTTTACCTGAGATGGAGTGGCTGCCTTGGTTTCAGCATGTGGTATTTATTGGTAAAAAGTGGATTGCAGTAAGATAAAGTGACAATATGTCCTTAAAGATATTTAAGTACTTGATAACAGAAAAAAAGAAAGGCTATTATAGTTGAATCTGTGTGGTAAGTTTTGTTCTGTGCCAGTTCTCTTTGGTAACCACCTTTTCTCACGCCGCTGCTGAAGGAGGCTTGCCAGAAGATTCTGCCTTTGCACATATAGATCAGGTTGATGCCAGATGTCTTTTCATAGCATTATTCATAGGACTTTACAGTATTGGTTTTTAGATTTTCCCCAATGCAGCATTGGAGGGGAATCTCCTTCCTGCCCACTCTTGTGCCTATCGTGCTTCAGTAAAAACACCTGTACACAGGTTTATAGAGCAATCTGCTCCAGACCCAATGTCATCTTGTTTTGCTGAATGTGTTATTGTGTTAAAGCCATGTGGACCATTCTCACAACACTCTTTGCTCCTTAGACCCTGATTTCTGGGTGCAGTTTTTATGTGACCAGTATGTGCTTTCATACGTACAGCTCACACAGAATATGCTCATTCAGTATCAAGTTATGCCTGGGGTTGGAGTGAAGGTTATGAAGAAGGAGCCAGACAACTTAATTGTAGAAGGGTAAGTGGAAGTAAGCTCGGATTGCTGACTCTTCCATGACTTACAGTGTAGCATGCAGGTGTGGCTCAGCATGCTGTATGCCTGTGAATGCAAGTCAGTGTAGCTATGGCCTCCTGCTCAAGAAGGGAGATTTGATTTGGTACCTACCTGGTACTGAGAAACTTGCATATCTTATTACTCATCTTTTGTAAAAGTTTTAATCTTGATGCATGGATAGCACATACAAGAGAAAAAAAATACACTGGTGTGCCAAAATGAAAAAGGTCTGTGTAATTTATGAAGCCAACATGATAAAAGATCATTAAACTTCTGATTTGAATTATCTTTTATTAATGTTATAATATTTAAGTGCTAAATACTTCTAGTTACAACTTACACGGTATGCAGAAATACTAAATACATCTGTGCTTTTCTTTTGTATCCATGACTTGCATGGCAAAGGGAAGTTAACCAGCTTTTTGATGAAGGATGAATCTACTTTAAAAGTGGTCATAGAAGTTACAGAACTGAAAATAAATTAAGTTGATGCTTAAGGGAAGGACTAAAACTCAGAATTTATATTTCTATATTTTCTGTCTTCTAGGTCTGGCACAATGCTATGTAATACCATGTTATACCTGGTTGGTAAGTTTCCATTTCTTCATCTGCAGTCCTTTTTAAAACTGTTGACCATTCTAGAAAGATTTCTGCTGGGTCAGTAGAGCTACATCCAAATGCATCTACATGTTTAGCTGCATCTTTCCCATTAGGTACACAGATTATAGGAGAAATGGAAAATATTTTCCAACTAATTTGAGTATTGCATGAGTCAGTCTTGCAACATCAGAAAACTGCTGTCAGTACATTCTTGATGTTTTCGCCATCTTTTGTAGAATGCTTTAGTCAGTCTTGCATCTTCCTATCTTGCATCTTCCTAGCTTTCTGCCACTTTGTCAAGCACAAACAGAGGGGCGAGAATTCTGTTCCGGTTTGTTTCCACAATGCAACCATTTAGCACCATTTCATCCAAAATTATGTGCACTCTGTCCAAATTGAACATGATCTAGGAACATTTCAAGTTAAGTATATTTTGAACAACATGAAGATAATTCAGAAAAAATCTTAGGCACCTAAGTCTTTAACCAAAATTTACAAAGATAGGTGTTTCTTAACTTATTCTACTTTATTTGGCTCTTTATTTTAATAGAGCTAGGGAAACAGTTCAATGGACACTTTTTTCTGATCACAAGGCAGTCAGAAGTTTGTAGTAGAAAAGTTGAAGCCCCAGCAGTATCCTCTCCTGGAATACAGTAGTAATACTAGTACACAGTAGTAAAAGCAAACGAAACTAAACTTAGATATAGGTGGTTAATTTTACTGTCTGTCTGAGTACCATGTATCGTTTGGATATAAAATGTTATTCATGGATAACAGCCTTGAATGTGAAGATCCAAATAATTCTGCATTCTTCCTAGAAAAGTAGTTGCCAAATTCTTAAAAATTTGATTCTGAAATTTTCCTTACCCTAAGTTACTTAATACTATTTGATCTGCTTGGAAATAGCTTAAGAGGAATATGCTGATATGTAAAGTTGAGTCATTGATCTAACAATAAATCTCATAAAGAAGAGCAAAAGTAAATAAATGGTTCATATTTTAAATACTTTCTAAAATATATTTATAATCTCTAATATTCACCTATAAGAAAATAATCTGAAGCAATATGTATTTGTTCAGTTTGCTTCAGTACATCACAGTTGTGATATATGAAATTTGCCCATAACCATGTCTGTCTTTCCTTAACATTATCTAACAGCATCTGTCTCAAAACCCTGATGACAGGCCCCACTCGGGTATTAAGTGGTGGGCATTCGTGATACATGACTGCATTCATGCAGACCCGAGTGTTGGGTGCATCCACTGAACAACTGCAAAGGGTTACGTAGTGAAAAAAGACTCGTATGTTGCCATTTATCACCAGAACCCGAAATGGAAACGGGCACAGCAAACCAGCCTGCTGGGTGCATCTGTTGTGCCTCACTGACATACACATACATATACAGAGGCATGAATAATGCTTCATCTGCCTTGCTTGCCACCTGTTGCTGCTTTTTAAATGTGTTCTTCGCTGTGCTCAACAGATCCACTTTGCCTTCATTTTGTGCCTTCTAATTCTTGGATGTGTCTGGAGGACTACTGCAGTAGAGCCAGCAAGACACTGTACAGTAATTTCTAAATGCATCTCTCAACACTTCTTGCCCAACTTTGATACGAGTCTCTTGAGTTCCTTCTCTGCCCATCATCCTATTTTTGACACTAAGGATTGAACACAGGAAGACAGCCTGGTGTTGCTCTAGTCCTTGTATTTATATTAGTGGACTTCCCTGCTACTCATTGGAGCTGCAAGAGCCAGGTTTTTGAAGGCATCAACATTTTCCTCTGCCCAGTGTGATATAATTGTCTAATTTTTTGAATATGACTCAGGCATTGAAGGGGATCTAGTGGATCTGACTTTGGCAGTCAGCTGTACTGCCCTACCAAAGAGCAGGAACAGTGGGAGTATTGTGAACTGTGTATGACAACAGCTGAGGAGCCACATATTTGTATATATTTGTTCCTCCTGGGTGGTAAGCGCAAGTGGTGGGGGTTTAAGACAACAGCTTAAACCACTGGAGCTGCAATGGCATAAGCTCATGCAAGGGAACAGCCTTGGGCTGAAGTCAAGAAATGGATTTGTTAGGTAACATTGAACATCGAACATCTCCATGCCTTGTTTTTTAGCACCTGGCTTTGAGAAGGGAATTCCTTAACCTGAGTTAGGTGCCTTATGTTTCTCACAATGAGTGGTGACTGCCAGACCCATTAAACAAGGTACAGGTTCTAGAGAACCAAGGCTGAAGCCTGTACTTGGGAATGCAGAGAGGGAGTTTTCCATGATCCTTTCTCTTGGATGCAGAAACCCAAGTCATTGCTTCAGGTGATGATGACTGGCTTGATCTCTTTTTAAATGTCAGTAGAGATGCTGCCTGCCTGAAACCTACAGAGGACAGAGGCTGAGTCTGTCCTCAGCATGGGGAATTCCAAACCCACCTTTCTCTGTGTGCAAGCTTAGCTGAGTTGGTAGCAGCTGCACCAGCTTCCCTATGCTTAAGGTTCTCCTGCTGTCTGTAAAAGTTCATAAGTATGACAGTCTGGCCTGGCAATAAGAGAAGCTGAAGATTTTGTTCCTGTCTTGGTGATTGTTTCTGCTGCATACACTAAAGCAAGAAGAGGGGCACAGAGTATCTCAGCCTTGTGTGTGACCACCCTTCTAAGAGCTGAAAAGGAGAATCTAAACCTGTTCAGGCAGAATGGTCAAACTGATGAGACCACAGCTAGCGGGCTGTCACCTTCCTCTGCCATTTCAAATTGCCATGAATGCTCTGAACTCGGTGCTACCGTGTATTTGTGCAGAAGGGGAAGCAACTGTACTGCTGCTCCAGCAGAAGTGTTCTGCTTGACCAAGTGCACAGCATGTGTGGGTATGTGCAAGAGCAGGATTCAGGCCCCCAAACAGCTTTTCTACTAGTTACCATTACGTGACAAACTATAGTTGTCAACAAGATCTTGAGTATGCCCATGGTTCATCAGATAGCTTCTAAGTTACTGGCCTAACCTTAACCACCTAATTTATTTCTAAGTTGTATTTAAAATACCAGGCTTCTTCCTGAGCCTGACCGTAGGCCTGAATTCCTTCTAAAAATCAGACTCGTGCTGTCAGTACTGAGGAACAGTGCTATCCTTACAGCTGTCACCGTTTCTGTGGTGCCAGAGGCAAAGGTGGTAGCTTTACTTTGCTTGGCAGATTAAAGACTGAAGACAAACTTCTTGCTGTTATATACTTTTTAAGTAAATCAGCCTTTACAGAAGTATTTTAATCTGAGAAGTTACGATTTCCTTATTCCAGTAATGTGAGAATTTTTAGGAAGACAGCTGTTCTGCTGCATTGTGCTCACCTCTGGCACTGCTCTGCATTGGGCTAGAGGATCTGTTAAGGAAGTTAGACAACATTCCATTCATGTTTCAACAAGTGATAAAGCCAACTCCTCCTGGCTTTTAATTTTTACACTCTACCACTGATTCACAGTGCCCCAGTTCCCATGGCAGAGTCCAGACCTTCCTCTTCCTTTGACAGTTCCAAGGATCTAAAAACCAGACAAGTGGACCAACCAGGATCAATGATGAGGCAGCAACCTGCCACTCCCATCTTATTTTTCTGCATCATCTTGTCTAAGAAAACATTTAAATCACACTTAGCACTGCTTTTTCCCCTGATGTATTTCTGGAAGAACCAATACTATGTCAAAGGAAAACACACCAGTAAGAATCTTGCAGCTGTTCCACTCAAACCCAGTGTGGTTCAGTAGATGTCAATTCCCCTCCAGGGCCATTCCAGGTGATTTCCAGATGGGGCTATTCCACTGCAGAAAAGTGGTATGATTTCTTTCCCTCTGTGATCTGGTCAGCTCACAGTCATCATTCCAGAACCAGTAATTTCATCTGCAGTTTGAATGGGGATACTAATACCATTCTGGAAAGATCTATCAACTTGATTTTGGAAGGTCCCAAAGCATTCTTCACCATCTACCCTCAGCCTAACATCCCAGCTTCCTTCCTCAGTTCTCTTCCCACCTCCCTTCATCACACTGTTCTTGGCAAACTGTTGGATTGTACAGGGAGCAACCTTGGCTCTTTTCCGCTTCCTCAAAGTTTCACCTATGCTCTATGGTTACATCTTGCCATACGCACACAACTCGGCCATTCACATCTGAATGCTCTGCCCAGGGAGAGAGAGAGACAGATCTCTGAGCTTCAGCAAGGCTCGTCCTTCCCACCTGTCACTTGTTTGGCAAGTGACCCCAAATTTCAGGGTTTAAAGCCCTGAAGTCATAGATCCACACCCAGCTGAAGAGCAGCAAAGCAAACCAGTTTCAGCAGCTGGCAACAGGAAAAAGCTGTATTCAGTGTGTGCACTGCCGTGTGCTCCACCCAGAGCTGTCATTTAAGGTCCTGCTTCCAGTAAGAATCCTGGCTACCCACAAAAGAGGATGAAGGGACTTTCACTAGATCCATGCAGAGGTTAACAGGAGTTTTTAAACAAGTATGCAGAAGAAAATACATGTTAATCCCTGCATGTCAGCCTGGGCAAAGGTGAGCCCTCCCTGGCTCTGTCTTACAGATTTCTGGCAATGCTGCCGTGGCTGTGTAACAAACAGCAGAAGTAAATGGTATCTACACAACTGGCATTTTACATGTAATTCTCGCTTTTGGCAACTTTAAGAACTGCCCTTCTTAAAGACATTAATGGTACTTTCTACTATCACAAAGAGTTTTTATGACACATACATACTAAGAGGAAGTAAATGTGACACAAGTATTTTGTCTCCTTCCCCGAAATATTATATAGACAGTTGAGCAGGGGAGAGAGGAAGGAAAGGGAGAAAGGAAAAAAGCACATTTAGGACTCGGGTGTGATAAATAACTTCTTCATATAGAGGCATTTTAAGAGCTCTCAGGATTTTCCAGGCAAGTAATTAAGGGTGTGCCCAGGCTTAACAGATGATGAAGCGCAGCCAACACCTTGTGATCATGGAACACACCCAGGAGCACAAACAAGGGCTTTGTAGATTACAGCACAGGTATGTATGGGGCAGATGGTTTGCTACTGAATATACAGCACTACAAAACCGTGATTTCTATCCTGGACACTCATCTTCAACGAGCAATTAGTTGGAGTTGCTTCTTTATTTAATCTAGAGTCACATATTCTGATTTAACTTTGCTAACCTTCACTTTCAGTGACTTTTAGCCTATTTAATGGCAGGCACATTAAACACATTGAAACCTGAAATACTTTCTGTTTCTTCCTCAAATGGCTAAGCTGATATTAAATAGGTGACAAAGGTGCCTTCAAGTTCTGTGAAATTCTAGAACAACTAAGCTAATTTTAAGCTAATTCTTATAAGTTTCCATTTCATCCAATTATGTTACAGAGAATAGCCACTATCACTTTTAAAATAAACTTCCTGTGGATCTGTACAAACTGCATAGCATCCTTATAAATTCTCAGAATAAATTCATCATTGAATTTTCTCACTCCTTAAATACACTGTATTCTCAGTGTTATTCCGCAGGGGACTGAAGAATAAAATTGATTCACATGAAAGCATTCCCTATACCAAAGTTTCTTATCTATCCTAGGAGGAGCAGCAGCAGCTAGTTGCAGTGGAATGTAATGGCTTTTTTGGATCAAGACAACATTCCTCAAATGCTTTGTCCTAGAGCACCCTCCCCCCCGCCTTCTTACCAGGGGAACATAAGTATCTGTTTCTTCTTTAAGTTAATAATGTGACTCCAAGTAAACTTTGCTTCACCAGTTCAAGCAATAAAAAACTCACCTTTTGTAATTTTAAAAATTGTCATACTTACTAGCATTTTGTTCTCTATAAAGCTGCTGTGGTAACACGTTCATTTTTATAGTATCTTTTGTCATCATCATAGCAAGAACGTAGTTCCTACACCATCCAAGCTGGAGTTTTAGAGCTACAAAAAACTCCACCCACTTATTTTATACACAAAGTGAGGCTTATCCAGTGCTATTAACACATTAGGACACAACACCCCTAGGACAATTTCAGTACTTGTTCACTCAACTGGCCCAACAACACTACTTATCGATATTTTAAAACCAATTTGAACAACTTTAGAAATGTTATGCTATTCCAGCATAGGTACTCTTAAGTGTGCAACAGACTTTCAAAATGAAAGTGAACATCATATAATGGCTAAATGGTTTACAAATTCACACATGAAACCATCTGTAAAAAACTGGCTATTCTAAAGTACTTAGCTGGACAGTAGCTAATCAGTGTTCATTTTTGCAGTATACATGAGATAACTTCACAATTGTTCATGCATTGTTAAGCATCACACATGCCTATGTCATACATATCAATGTGATGTATGAATCCTGTTGGGCAGGATTCAGATTGGACCCAGTCCCTGCCTTATGCTCAAGGCGTCCTTCCTGACAGCTGACTCCAGACTCAGGCCATGATACAACCTACGCTGTGGGTGCCCTGGGTGAATTCAGGGGTGTGGACATAAATGAAAGCTGTAGTCCTGCCTCAGCTGGAGCTGCGTTGCCAGGAACAGTGGGGTAATGCCCTGTGTCTGGGAAGCTGAAAGAATCAGTGCATGTGCTGCAGGCTTCGTATGGGCTCCAGGGACATCTCAAAATTGTGTGATGGTCTCAGTCTTTAGATTTGATTTCATGTAATTTCCTACTATTTTTTCATGTTAATAAACACTACTGGCTCTATAGAATAGCCACTACCACTTTTAAAATAAACTTCCTATGGATCTGTACACAAAAATAATAGCACAGAGTCAGGAAACTGTGATGGTCTCCTGCCGGATAGTCTGTAAACAAAGATTTTGTAAATGCTACTTGGCTTTCACTTTTGCAGATGTTCAGACACAGTACTTTCTCCATCAGCTGTTTTGTATCCAAGCTAACTGTACTGAATATAGGAGTTCGTGTGAGACCATTGGCAAAGGCAATGGTTTAATCCCAGGTGGGGATATTACCTTATATGTTATGAAAGGCAGATTGATAAATTATTGCTTGCACTGCAATAACAGCTAAGACACTTGCCCAGACTCTGTATTGTTTTTCTGGGTCTGCTATTCAAGCTGTTGTCAAAAATACAGTCCTGAACAACCCACTTCTTCACAGTTACACCTCAGCTTTACATTTAATACTGAGGGCATCTCACTTCATTTCAAATATTTTAGGTGTCCTTTCAACTCATGAAAAGCTCTTCCTCCTAAATGGGAAAATTACTTTGTACATATAGAGAAGTAAAATGTTTCATTTTAAAATTGTTCCTGAAATGTGTATCATAGAAAAGTGCATCTCTAAATGGTAAAATTACATACGTCATTCATATGTCATCCATGTGAAGGAGAGAAATATCAGATATGAGTTTTTCCAGTATTTTTTCCACTGTGATCAAGTAAGTTACTAATGCACATTCCTATTTTCCAAATATTTAGATTTACACCATCGTGCAGATGAGACCCTCAGATAAATTTCTATGGAAATCGTTCACACCTCGTATTGCACCCATTGCAAACATTAGTGTTGGTATATAATGCAACAACTTCTCCAAAAAGTGCAGACTAAGGACAGGATGCCATCCAGAGGGACCTGGACAAGCTGAAGAAGTGGGCCCCACCTGGAGTACAGTGTACAGTTCTGGGGTTCCCAGCACAGAAAGGATGTAGACCTGTTGGAGCAAGTCCAGAGCAGGGCCACCAAGATGATCAGAGGGATGGAGCACCTCTCCCTATGAGGAAAGGCTGAGAGAATTGGGATTGTTCAGCCTGGAAAAGAGATGGTTTAGGGATTGACCTAACTGAGGCCTTCCACCACCTGAAGGGAACATATAAGAAAGATGGAGAGGAACTTTTTAGAAGAGCATGTGGTGATAGGACAAGGGGGAATGGCTTCAAACTGAAAGAGAGTAGGTTTGGGTTAGATATTACGAAGAAATTCTTTACTGTGAGAGTGGCGAGGCACTGGCACAGGTTGTCCAGACAAGCTGTGGATGCCCCATCACTGGGAGTGTTCAAGGCAAGGTTGGATGGGGCTCTGAGCAACCGGGTCTAGTGAAAGGTGTTCCTTCCCACGGCAAGGGGTTTGAAACTACATGATCTTGAAGGTCCCTTCCAACCCAAACCATTCTATAATTCCATGATATTCAACAGCCAATTGAACGGGCTGCTGATGGTAGCTCTAGCTCTAAGCATAGAACTACAGGAAATTCTTCTTGGTAGGAAATCAATGACCAGAGGCAAACAGAATTTAGAATCATCAGTACACCAAACAATCTAAGATAATTAGACACTTGCAGACTTAAATACAACATATGGAAACACAGGGGATTCTTTTTATGTGTAATTACTGAATAGATCAGATTAGTCTCTAACTTAGCAAAGCTCATATACAAGTACACATAGTTCTAATGCTAAACTATAATATCTGAATACAAAAAATCTAGTTTTACAGTCACTCAGAGACCTTAAGAGTCCCTTCATGCTGAAATGTCATTATTGCTCTTTTATAATATCAGTGAATTTAAGTTTTTTATACTAATACCACAGCATTTCGTAAATTTTAGGAAGGAAATACTGACAGTATATATATATATATATAAGGTCAGTAAATGAGACAGTTCCAGCAAGTAGCAAGCATTAAAATATTCACAAAAGTGAAATTAATTATTTCCTGTTGGTTTGTTTTTTCCCTTTTTAGTAAAGAAGGAACAATAATTCCAAGAAAAATGACAGAATTTTCCCATGTTCTTCATAAGTTGTAATTCTTAAATAAAATAAATAAATGAAATTACATGACAGTACTTCATTCCAGGATGGCAACTGTATTTCAGATGTATAACTGAAACTCTTTGAACCAGATCTGCATTTAATCAACAACAAACATAAGTGTAAGAATTGCTAGAGTAGAGTGAGCAGGCACTGGGATTGGAAGAACTGATAATGAAGACTGTTTGTGATACATTCTCATGGTTTAATTTTCTTCCAACCCAGTATTGTGTTTTATTTATTTGATATTTGTGTTTAATTGTTCAAAACTGTATTTTAGTATTTGTTTGTATTTGGGTTTAGTTTTAAATCATATTTTAATTAATCATACACATGAAAATACAGCTTTGTAAGTGGAGGGGTGGAAAAAGAAAACAGTAACTGTGGCAATGCCTAGTTTCCTAAATTTCCTCCTCTCAGGTCTTTTTCTGTTCATAGATAGAGAAAGTAAAACTCAACTCTTGCTTTCATGAAGCAAAATCAAAGTGCAAACATAATCTTACAGTGATGCTACTGCTGTTTGGCTCAAGACACAGCTGTGACATTCAGTTATTATTGCAGGCATTTCAATATCTATTTTATTGTAAACTTAAAGAAAAAAAGGGAAACCCTGAAGTAATAATTAGTTAAGCCTGAAAGTTCCCCTATGAATATAACTTTTCATGTACTTAGTTCTCCCTGTCTTACTTTAAATGGAACCAGGCTTATCTTAATGATAGAGGATTTAAATAGGTGACATTGTGAACATCAGTCATGCTTTCAGAAGGGTGCCAAAATGGTGCTACTTACTCTAAATGCAAAATTGGTTAAACCTCTGCATTGTCTTGATTGACAGTTAGTGCTATGAAGACAGTATGAACTGGATCATACAGCAAAAAGAGACAGACAAACGGATTTCTGATACTGAAAAGGATACATCTAATTCACTCTGCAAGGGAAAGAGATAGACAGTCATTAGTTACAGTTGGATCTCTCATCTCAGATTAAATGATCTCTCATCTTGTAATCATTAAACATTACACATCCCTTTAAAGGATAAAGAAAGTCTTCAAAATAACTATAGAAAATTTTAGGGCGATTCAGATTTCTGGTCTGGACTGGACAATTACATGCTCTTTCCTGCAACACTGCTTTGCCTTACATATGTTACCTGCCTGTGTAATCAAAGCTAATGTTTTACTTAGGAAAAACCACTGAGGTCACCCACAAGTAACAATTTGAATATATGCAGTGCCATCTGAGTGCGTGGGTGGAAAACTAGCAGCTCTAATCACGGCAGCTCCTGCCCTATATTCTGTCTTCCTCTTTCTGCAAAACCCAGGATGTTAATGCCAAGTTCACACAGTTAAAAATGTTGCTGCAGATCATTTCAACAGCAAAATCTAGACATTGTATATACCCATGGCTGGGGTAGTAGTGGCTACATATATTACGAAAGGGAAGGCAACTCCAAGCTTTGGACACTTAGCACTAAGTATTCTCCAGCCCCAGCAACACAGTTCTTCATAGTCATCATTTCCCTTCTGGTTTTGCCCTGGATTTACCCCAAGTAGTATTACTCATTTAACCAAAATGTCTGAGTTAGAAGCCCTTGTGGTCTCTCTGCAGTCCCCAGAAGAGATGCGGATCTTCAACAGTTGGCACGCTTGAGGCATGACTCACTTTCTCGAGATACTCATAGGTCTCCACGGCCAGTAATGGGAGCTTAGGATGACCAAACTGCTAACTTAGGTGCCTCAGTTAAATGTCTAAACTTAGAAACAATTAATCACAACCTTAGCAGTTAATATTTTGCACAGTTGGGTGGAGGTTCCCCAGTCTCTGCTAAAAGAGGGAATCTTTATCTGCTACCAAGGGAATTTAGTTTGCTAACGTGGTTTTCATTCATGGTCTAACCCTGGTTTTAAAGCAGAGTAATACTGGTAACGTTTTATTGGTAAAACTGATATTACTTCTGTGGTCTAAAGATGCTCTAAACTGGACTAGTTCTAGTCTACAGGCCTCTGCTGCATGACTGTGCCATTCTTCAATTAGAAGGCGTTAATGCATCACAAAAATTGTATTTTAAAAGCCTGATCAGTTTAAGGTTCCTGAGCATTAAAACGCAATTGAAGACATTGGAATTCTGAACAATATGCAGAGCTTTCTGTGGGTAGCCATATAAAAGTGAAGGGGACTCAGAATTACATCTCACAAACAAATTTGAAAGTTTTCCCCCTAATTCCATTAATGTTTGTTCTCATATCTGAATTCAAGCTCTTTAAGATCCATTAGATAAAAATAGAGTATGTGAGAATGTTTAAAGCTCACAAACCTAAAAATAATATATGACAAAATGTCCTTCTAGAGCAGGACAGATGTTCGTTCCTTTCCCAGAGTTCTGTCCCTGTTGTCACCATCATAATTTGGGATTCTGCTAAAATTCTGCAAATCCTAAATTAATCCGTAAGAGTACAGATTTATACTTTCTTGCTCTGTGGTTATTGCCAGTAACCCCAGCTAGAATTATAGCCCTCATCTTCAGTGCTCTGTCATTTATCATGTTATATGCTACTAAAAATAGAACCACTGAATGGCATGAGATTTCCTTAACCAGTCCCCTTTTAGGTTCCTCTAGTCTCAAACATGAAATGCTACAGAAAATATAAAAAACCCCTGTGGTATGATGAACTAGCAAATTTCTAACAACTATCAGTGGTTGGGTTATATGTGTGGTCAAGGAATTATATATATGTATAATAACTACATCTATTTTCATTCTGCTTTAATTGAAGAAATAAAACTTGAGAAGTGGTTGGCAGCTATTAGCTCAATTAGATAAATAAGACGTGACTAAATTTTTTGTGCATTCCTGTGCTGCGAGGATCAAATTCCATTCCTGGTTATCACTGCTTAGGTTGGGACTGCAATCAGCAATTTTAAGAGAGAAATTCTGAACTCAGTGCAGTCTGAAAGTGAAACACTTAGTACCAGCAGTTTCAGTGGGCTGGTGCGGCATCAGTTGACATAACAGCCTAAAACATTTCCCAGGCATCTAAATCGTGAAGGGTGCAGATGACTTTTTCAAGCATGTCCTTGAATTCACAGAGGCACCTCTGCCATGCCCACTGTGGGACTAGGACTAGGAAACCAGTTACAGACCCTGCATACTGATCTCTTGATTGTACAGTCACCAATGTAATACCCTCAAGTACATGGACTACAGAGGAAACCACGCAGTCCTCTTTTCTGAGAGGGATATCCAAGACATTTCAGTATAGGTTAATTGAAATTTTTTTGTAATAAGGCTATTAAAAGCCATATATTAAATAGCACACGTTCTAACCAGGATTATAATGCTGTATTTTGAAACTTTGTAAAAATGAGCAAGCAAACAAATCTCCCATCAAAAGGAACTGTCATTTTAACTGGAGCCATGTCTGATGTTGAATCCTTAACAAAATTACTATCTCTATAATAGCTGTTTTATCAGATATCCACTGTTGCATGACAACAATATGGATACTACAAGTACAGACTGGTTTTTGGGTTTCTTTCGCTCCATCCCTCTGATCTTGTTCAGTGAGATGAGTTCCCTGCTTAATGTTTACACCATCTTAATCATAAATGAAGTTCATTTGGGGAATGTAATGCTAAGAACTGCATGAAAGAACTGCAAAGAAAAACCTCTTTATTTCTTTAAAACATATAAAATGCTCATGGCTAAACTAAGAATACATGACCCAAAGAAACTTTATAGCACATACAAACATGCTTTTCTAACAGAAGTATTTCTGGTGTTCCTTGTCTGATGATTTATAACCTACGTATACTTTTACTTCTCTGAAAAATCAATTCATCCTGCTTTCATCCCCCCTCCTGTGATAATATTTATACTAAAGTATTCAAAATTCTAAATTAATGTTAAATAATTATTTTCTCCTTTGATTTATTCCCTGAAATGACACATTCACTAAAGCTTTGAAAGAGAAAAATGTTTCATAATAGATTCAGTGTCTCACCACTCTGCTGAAGTATTTGTCCAAAACTTCCACAAAATTATGAATTAGTTCATATACTGCCATCTCATTCTGAAATTAAAAACAACTGAATATTAAATGAATATCTAGAAAATGTAATAGCATTCTTTGTGTAAATTCAGTTCCTGGTGAATGAAAAGCAACTCGATAACATAAGACAACCTACACTAAAGTGCAGAAGCTCAGGCCACCACAGCAGGAGGCAACGTCGTTACCCAGCAGAGGTGCCAAGAGCTGGGCAGTGCTTGGGGCAGAAGTTTCAGGCCGGCCACCAAGGAAGCACTACAGTACCCAGTGGGTCTGTCTCTCCCAGGATGCTGCTGTTCCACTGCATCCTTTGTTCCACCATAGCCCAGGTCTCAGATATATGGACAGAAACACCTAACTAGGTTATGCTGAAGTCGCACCAGCCAGCTGTAGCACAGAGCTAGGCTATGCTGGGCGATTTCTGTAGCAAAGCCAAATTAATTTGCCCCAAATTGCATGCCATTATAACCCTGACTTGAAGACACTGTGGTAATCAGTGCTACTTTCCACACCACCCTGTTAAGGTCTCTAATAGTAAACTTTGAATTAATATCTGAGAACCGGGAATCAATGTAAACACTCAAGCCTCACAGGCACAACCTGAACAAATGAAATAACAGTACTTGGCAACTTTCAGATATCTTTCTTTTTTTCCCTTTTAAAAAAAGAAAATAAATTGGCATCTTTCTAGCTGAACAGTATGGGAATTTGTTCTTTGGCCAAGGAGGTTAAAACCAGTGGGGAATCACCACAGATGAGACAACTGATTTGGCTGTAATGCTAACAATTGTTGAGAAACTCCACCCCACATAAATTTGTGATTAATCAAACATAAATTTGGAAAACAGAATCAATACAAGGCTCAGGAAGACTACCTCGTGATAATAGTTAAGTCTACTGCTAAAGACTGAAGTCAAATATACTTCATTTGCTTTTATACCTCTTTATTTCACAGAAATAATGTGGGAGCATTTTTGTTTGTTTGGAGTGGTTTGTTTTTTGGGTTTTTTTTGTTTGTTTTTTTTTCCCCACAATGATTCCTTGAAATTCTCTAATTGCCATTGAAAAATTCTGTACCGGAAGAAGACTTGAGCTCTTGCCTGTGAGAATCACTATAAGCTTTCATTGCAAAAGGGTATATAATTTCTTACCTCTGTCTGGTCGATGCCAACAACTACGAAAAGGGCTGCATACTGTCGGTACACCAGCTTAAAGTCCTTATACTCAATGAAAGAGCACTAGGCAGAAGCAAAACAAGTCAACTATAGCAGCTGTCCTTTAAGCATACAACAGCATAAAGCACAGTGCTCAAAGAGACTAAGCTTTCAGGTTTGTAAGACCCACAAAGAACAATGGATTTCCCAAGATCTATCAAACGATTTTGACTTGAAAGAAATTTAGTAGGATAACTATTACACAACACTTTTCATCTACTGGCAGAAAACATGCCACCACTTTTTAAATGGAAAAACTGGAACATACAGAACTGAAGAGACTTGTTATAAGGCACCCAATATTCCCCTAACTTTTCAGGTTCAGGGGGGATTGACATGTGTTTCCCAATAGGACGGGAGCCAGGAGATGGCGCCATTCACGCCGCTTTAGGACGTGCCGCCGCCTTTTCTTTCACTGTCGTTTCGCTCGGCCCCCGAAATGGCAGCGGCAGCGCCGTCAGCTCCTGCGCTGGAGCCTCTGGTGGGAAATGCCCTCGCAAGAGCAGTATGAGAAGGTTAATTTCTTTAGCCACTGTCAAGTCTGCGGACTAAGGGACTTTATAAGGACTGCTATTTTTTCTGAGGTTTGCTAGAGTGTAGTATGTGAGGACCACTGCGCAAGAACACACATAATTAATTAAAAATAAAGAAGCTGACTTCAGAACACAAACCAAAAAATCCCATTCACAGTCCAAGTCACATATTTTTCCTCTAATTCAAGTCAATGTGCAAAAGTTTGGTGCTTTTAAAGTGAGCCATGAAAATCTCAATTTTCATCTAAGAAATTTCACAACTTCTGAGTTTTCTGACTTCCTTGCAGAAAGTGTGAACACTTTTTTTGAATAAAAAAGTCTAATACTGAGGCCTAAAAATTTGTGTTTCCAAATGCTCCTGTGCTTTAGGTAGTGTTTTCATAATTTGGAATCCTCTATCCAAAAATCTTTATTTAAACTTGGAGCTGTCAGTACTCTCCCTACTACATTCTGGCAAAGCAGCAGTAATATCTCTCTATCCATCCCTAAATAAATAATAAAAGGATAAAATGAGTTTTTTCTGGACTTCTGAGTTTCTTCAAACAAACAAGAGGAATCTTCACAATAGTGATACACAAAGCTCTAACATCTCTTTAAGCCTCAGAAAAACATATTTATTCAATGCAGAATAAGAGTCCAACTGACTAAACCCAAAATCTAGAAACTCAGTCTTTTTCTTCATGGGTACAAAAGAAATAATGACCTGCAATGGAAACTGATAGGTTTTCAGAATTATCGACATGAAAGATGTGAGATGTGGATAAAATAAAAACTGCAAAACTTACCTGATCCTTTGAACGGGAGAGACAGTTTTTGATCACTTCAGCTTCCAGCATTGTCCGTTTATTAATTTCTACATGCTCATAATACCTAGACAGTCTTGTTTGACCTTGCTTGTTAACCATAAGAAAAAATTTTATCATTTCTTTTTTGTTGATTTCAGTGGTAGATTTGAATATTGAGTGCAGGAATCAAGAAAAGTATTTCTGTTGGGAGGAGGGGAAAAAAAGACTAGTAATACATAGGAGTAAAGACTTCCTAAAAGCTAGTCAGCCCAGATCTGCATATATTTATGACTGAGTTTATTGCCAAAACACAGAATATCAAAAAAAAAATCTCTAATCTTTTTCATGCATCCCATGAGTAAAACTCCATTTTTCCCCCCACACAACTAATCACAAACTATCTAATAAATAACAGCTTTCACATTTTCAGGCAAATTAATTTCTCTGTGGGATTTGGGCAATTGGAGGAGTAATCAGTTACTTCTTCATAACTATAAATCTACTCAGCGTTTTGTTCCTGCATGCTAACTGGTTGGAAAACCTTACCAGAAATTTACCCAATACCAAACCAGAAGGTTAACAAAGCTCCTAAGAGTAAAGTGGCCTCTGAACACTATTTTTCCCTTGACTTGTATTTAACAATTACATTCATACCATCGTCATATCATATTGAAGGGAGAGTCAACAAAGGGAAATGCATGGGCCACAGCACATGACCATTCTTGCAGAATGAGAGACTCCTAAATATTTGGGTATCTGCAGTATCAGCACACATCTTAAGCTGGACCAGGAGCCACTGAAATCAGTTTTCTCCTGTCTAATTTCCCACACTGATGCAAAAGGTAAATTCTGCACTTAATGAAAGCTGAGTGTGGGTCTTTGATAGCTAAGGAGAAATCTGTTCATGTTAATTATTTAAAAGAGCTTAATCTCAATCTAAATAAATATTAATCCACACAACACCACTGAAATATAGTTCTAGAATATAAATATACCCCATGCAATGTACAATGAAAAAGGGTATTAAAAAGAGCCCAGCACGTATCAGAATCTGCTTGCTAAGCAACTGACATCTTTCATGTTTTGAAAAGCATGGAAAAAAGGATAAGCTGCAGATGTAATTTTCCTCAGTGTACTATGGTTTACTCCATATACAAAGAAGTTTAGATTTCTATATGTAGTTTCAAATGTATTTTTACTAATTTGACTTGATACTGAGAATTCATTTCTTCGTTAAGTGACACATGCTTAGTCCAGGATGGATCCTCAGGACAAGAGAATCTGTTAGAAATCGTGACAGTCTCAGAGCATTCTCACCTCCGCCAGTCTCTTCAGGAATGCACTTTTGTTGAGTCACTCCAACAGAAGAGTCATGGATGCTGGTCAGTGCTGCTGCAGTGGTGCACACACCTTGTCCACTGCACCCAGGGCTTCTGAATCAGCACAAGTTGGTCTCTGAGAAAGAATAAACCAGGTAATTAAGACAAAAAAGGGCCCAGATGGAAATGTATAATGGGATCTTCACTGCTGGATGGCAGGTAGGCTGACATTTATGACTAAATGGGAGAGTACCATCTATACAATCTTTACTGTGTTTAATATGTGGCTCTTTTTTTTCCATGTTCTGTTTTGTATTGCCTCCTGAAGTTACAGTTGCGATGTCTTTGTATTTTGAAGCATAAAGGTGAAACAGTGAGTTGATGTAGTCATTTTTTAATACAAACCTTCCAAAAACTAAGGATAAGAATGAATGACTCCTTCCAGCTCTGAGTGAGGCCCTCTACCAAGGGCCAACCTCACAACAGAAGGAATCTGAAGCTTTAAAGCTACCTAAGAAAGGGCTGTGGCATGAAAGAGAAACAGTCGAAGAAATGCTGCCCATTGTTTTAATCAAGCTCAGACACAGGAGAACAAAAACTTTGTTCCTACCCAGCTGCAAAACATGTCTCTCCATGCTAAACAGATAATGACAGTGACATAGACAGCCTTTCTTTTTCCATCTTAGTTTTACACTTCATCTTTGTGTTTGGCACTGCTGAAGCATGAACAAGGTGTCTGTTTTAAACAAGTTGTTTCCAAACTATTTTAATAATTTAGTCATAAATTGTACCAAGGACCGTAAGTCCTATTTTCACAAATCAGCAAGCTGCATAAATCCACTCTAGAAGAGTAACATAAGGCTTCATTATCATCATCATCATCATGGCTAGGCTTTGCGAACGAAGATTTGAGGAGGGCTCTACCCACATTTGCTGCAAGTACACTGGTGGCTAAAGAGGCCAATGAGAGATAGACAAGATCGGTTGCAAAAGACACAGCAGAAAGACTCCTTAGGTGGTATATTCTGCAAGACATGATTCTTTCTGCATTGTCTTTTCTCCTCGAGAGTGATCCTGCGTGCTTTCTCAAAGGAAGCAGCAGCGTTATAGATGGTGTGTCTCCAGACTTCTCGATTGGAGGCCAGAGTAGACCAGTGATGATGATCAATGTGGCCAAGGCTGAGATGTTGCTTCAGGGAGTCCTTGTATCTTCTCTTTGGGGTTCCTCTCTTGCGCAACATAAGGCTTAACATGTCTTATATTCAAGCAGGACTTGAGAACAGGAGGAGAGTAAACTAACTCAGAGCACTGACAGAGATGTAGTACTTTGAGTTATTGTTAAGCAATATATGACAGAAAAACATACAAAAATTGATACATATGATCTTATTGGAGGATTGGACCCTAATCCTAATTATTCCTTTATTAACCTAGTCTTTGTACATGGTTAATCCCTTTCTGATGTTCTGACTATTGTATCTGCATGTATTCCTATGAATGGCCTGGATTGTTTTACATATGGATATACTTTAGACCAGATTATTTTTTTCTAATCCACACAAATGGTCTTACCCAGAATAGATTAAAAAAAAAAAAAGTTGTAACAGGTAGAACCACAGTAGCACTCAAATGTGTTATCTGAAGAAAATCGCTTGTAGAAATAAAAATGTTTGCTTGCACATTTAGGCAAAAAAAAAGAAAATTACTGAGTTTTGTTTCTAGCAAACAAAGATTATTTTTTCTCTTTTCATCTTGGCTTTCAGATACAGATAACATTTTGAAGTGAGATTTGCATATACAGAACCCACAGAATCACAGAATATTCTGAGTTGGAAGGGACCCACAAGGATCGAGTCCAAATCCTAAGTGAATGGCTCATATGGGGATCAAACCCACAACCTTGGTGTTATTAGCACCATATCAACTGAGCTAATCTCAGTTATATAAGATGTACATAACTTATATAAGATGTAAAGAAACCTGTGAAGTATAATAAACAAACAAAAGCCTATCTGTGTATGTTGATGGGTGGAGAAACTCCCATTTCTTCAAGTTCTATATATTTGAGAAGCTACCTTTTATGATCAATAATCAGTATTCCACTTACAAAGGCAGCTCCATTTCTTCTGATACAACTCTTACGTGCTTTCCTGTGCATTCTCACGCACATGCCTGTGTGTATCAATGCACATACACATGAATTACGATGCTTTTATGAATGCAGAATCCAATGGTTCAAGGGAATTGGTGACAAGATGCAAGCCTTTCATATCTCTGCCATTATTTTGCTCATTTTAGTAATGAAAAGACATTAGTATCTGAAGGCTGTTTGTCAGAACTGAATAGGCTGTCTCATTCCAGGTCACTGGACAACTATCTGCATCACAAATGCGCTTAGGAACCGAATACTGGAAGAGACTATTGGGATCCTGATGGACTGTCAAGTCCAACTCTCCCCATCACAGTCAACCATGCATTAGAAATTTTATTCAGAATAGCCTATGGTATATGCTTCCTGCATATCCTGCATACCCGATCTACAAAACACCTACCAAACTCTGTCTCTGAACAAAGACTCCCTAGAAAAAAAACCCACACAAGGTATCATTTCGGGAAGATGTAAAAAGTCTTGAAATTGCAAACTTTCCTTCAAAAGAAATTACCTTCTGGAGTAACTGAGTAGAACCCTTACAAAGTATTTCTTCTGTAAGGATAATTTGGCATGTGCACAGACGACATACAGCTTAACTACTGTGATTTAAATATGCACTATTACAGTGTGTTAGATCTCACCCTCATTAAAGTATCTCTTGCAGATAAATATCTATGAGAGAAAACTCATATGGTGATTGGCTTGTGTGACTCACACTGCTTCAGGATCTGTTTCCAGAACATGTCAGCTCTGCAGGCTGCATAACCACATAAGACACCTCAAAGTAAGCTGTCCCTGTTTGAGTCACACCCCTAAATGATGTCTTTTCAGATACTGGCTGAGACCTCTCAGAGAGACAAAGCCTGCAATACCTGTTCTGTGGATATAAAGATCTTAAGTCTCCAGTGAGACCAACCCAGCTGATTCCCATGCAGTAATATAAAACATATTTTAAACATATTTTTAATTACTCCTCCAGTATAGACACAAGCACTCAATTTAGTTTGTCAATGATTTCGCCAATATTTATGCATACTCCGATACATAAATCATAAAAAAAGAAACACAACCTAAGTTTGAGTTGTACTTGCAGTATAGCTGTAATTCAAATTAGTCGTGTGTCTCTCAAGCTAAAACCACTCCAGTCAATGTCTATAGATTTGGAAGCATTTTAGTTATTGCACTCTACGAACAGTTTGCAATATCCTAGAGCTCTCAGCTAGAATGTAAATAAGAGATCAAATCTCAAAAAGAAGAAATGCATGACTACATATTTACAGAACTGCTTTATCAGGAATTAAAAATAAATGTTAGATAGAACTATATGCAAATAATTTACTGCAATAACTCTAAACAAGTTGATTTTCTGGATGCAGAGATCTAATGGCACTTAACGTGCGTACTAAATGTAGAATCATAGAATATCCTGAGTTGGAAGGGACGCAAAGAGATCATCAAGTCCGGCTCCTGGCCCTGCACAGGACCATCCCCAAGAGTCACATCATATGCCCGAGAGTATCACTGAAATGCTTCTTGAACTCTGTCAGGCTTGGTGCTGTGACCACTTCCCTGGCGAGCCTGTTCCAGTGCCCAACCACCCTCTGGGTGAAGACCTTTTTCTAATATCCAACCTAAACCTCCCCTGACACAACTTCAGGCCATTCCCTTGGGTCCTGTCACTGGTCACCACAGAGAAGAGATCAGTGCCTGCCCCTCCTCTTCCCCTCACGAGGAAGTTGTAACTGCAATGAGGTCTCCCCTCAGTCTCCACCAGGCTGAACAAGCCAAATGACCTCATATGGCTTCCCCTCCAGGCCCTTCACCAAATGTAGAACAAGTAAAACATTAATGAAAATCAAAAAATGGCTAAATAGTAGAGGCAAGAGGCAAAAGCAGGTGTAGCACAGGAACAAATATTTGTGATATATATGTTTATTGAGCTTCCTGGCTATAAATTTATTGTACAAAACCATGTAGCAAATGAAGACTGCTCCCATAATCAGAACCTTTAGTCTTCCTACTTTTTTTTTGACTGTGGACAAGGCTTTAACAAAAGTCACATGTAATGCTATTTAGCAGTAGAAGTAATCTTTGTATTCTAGAGCTTATTACTGTGCACATTCTTCCAAAGATGAAACAAGCATATCTATGTGGGTTTAAAATAAAACACTGTGTTGAATTTCAGGATCAGGGATTTTACAAAAGCAACCTTATTAACCTAGGGAAGTCAAAGGAGGAAGGAAGGAGTAAAAAAAGTTTTCCTTTGCTGTTGAGTTGTCAAAATGCTGGCTGAATATAGTAACGGAATTAAACTGCAGTAACTCCCACATACTCAGGAATGAGGAATGTCCCATACAATTCGAGCTAAACAAAAGGTTACACTAGTTATGAGCTAAGTCACAATTTTTAAGAATGATTAGGTACTGTCAGTAGACAAAAGAAGTAAGCTGAGGTGGAAGGGAGTTGGATTTAGATTGCCTAATCTATATGGAATCAGGAAGACTGTACAATGACATTTTAGTAGGAAATGATTTAATGGAGAAAAAAGGAAGGACTGGATGAACTAACTAAAACATCAACACACACCTGAGCAGAAATTAGTAAAGAAAGGAAACACCAGCACTGAGACAAGGAGTATTTTTTTTCAGTAATTAACAGAATTCCAGCTCTGTCAAGAATGGGCCATGTTTAGGAAACTATCAATTTTTTTACTTAATGAGCACAGCATGTAAATACTTTAATGAGAGGCAAAACTGAAGGGCTAGCTTAAGTGGGTGACCTATGGATCATTTCAAACAGGATGTGTCAATAATTTGTAAATACTGCATTTCAGAGTAGGATTGTGCAATTGAGGTAATTTCACCATATCCAAAATACAGCATCAAACACTGCATTGCTATCACTGGCAAAACTGAGCCAGACAAAACTTGCAAAACCTTCGTCACGTGGAAAAGACTTTTGAATAACAAATATGGTGCACTCTTCCTTCCCATCCAGGGCGGAACACATTACACACAACACGACTGAGGTATCGTGAAGATGACCCTCTGGTCATGAGCCAGCTTCCAGAAACATACCATAAATTGAACTAATCTGTTCTAAAACCACCTCCTTGCAGGGCAAACTCAGGGCACCATTAAAAGGCGCTGAGTCTCAAAAACTTAAGTGTTTGACCTAAAGCTGGCTGCGGGCCGCTTTGGGACGTAGGCCGCGGCCCGGCCGCATTCCCGCCGACTCTTCCGAGGCCGTTCGGCACTCCCGAGGCGCGGAGAGAACCGATCCCCGCCGCCGCTTCCCACGGTCACCCGGGGCGGACGGGACCCGCGCGGGGCCGCCAGCCGCGGCACCGACCGACGCGGGGCCGGGCGCAGGCGGGCGAGGCCGCCTCCACAGCGGGAAGATGCTCCCGCTCCCGGCCCCGGGCCCGTCCCCCTCCCCCCGTCCCGGCGCTCACCTCCCTCCGCGCAGGCGCCCCGGCCGCGGGAGGCGGTGGCGGGGCCGGGCCGCGTTTCCCGGCAGGCGCCGCTCGCTCCCCGCCCGGCCGGTGGGAGGAGGGAGGGCCGCGGGGCTGTAATGGCGGCTGGCGGCGGCTCCGCGCTGCGCTGACACCCGCACCCGCTCGGCGCAGCCCCCCCGCCCGGCCCGCCCCCTCCTCCCCGCCCCAGCCAGCGCCGCTCGCCCCCTCCCCGGCCCCTGCTCCCGGCCCCCGCCGCGGGACGAGGAGGAGGGCTCCCCGCAGACAATGGACGAGCACCCTGGAGCCGGAGGAGGCGGTGGGATGGCGGCCGCCCCGAGACCGCAGCAGCCGCCACTGCAGGCGGGTGGGAACATGAACCTGCAGTCGGGTGGGGGCTGCGTGGGGGCCGGAGCCGGCGGCGGAGGAGGAGGGCAACAGCCGCAGCCCCAGGGCCCCGCGGCCCCGGCCGGGCAGGAGGCGGCGGGCCCCGCCGAGCTGTCCCGGCCCCAGCACTACACTATCCCGGGGATCCTGCACTACATCCAGCACGAGTGGGCTCGCTTCGAGATGGAGAGGGCGCACTGGGAGGTGGAGCGGGCCGAGCTCCAGGTACGAGAGGCGCGGGCGGGCTGGGACCGGCCCGGGGGGCTGCGGGGGCCGGGCCGCGCGCGGGATGCGGGGGCAGCGCTGCCCGCACCGGCCGGGCCCTCAGGGCCGAGCCGGTGGTCGTGGCCTGGGGACGGTACCCGGGCGAGGTCCGGCGGGCGGTGCTGGCGGAGGCCCGGGCCGGGCTTCCTCCCCGGGGCAGCCATTTTGGTTTGTAGCATGGCGCCCGCCCGGCTCCGGAGCGGCCCCGGCCCCGCAGGCCGCTCGCCCGCACCCGCCGTGCGGGGCCCGCAGGGCGGCCCGGGAAGGGCGGGCGGGCGCTGTCGCGGCGCGGGGCTGTGACCCTCCTCACCCTTCTCCTCGCCGGCGAGGCGAGCTGCGCTGCGCCTTGACAGCTGCGATGGGCTCCCGCAGCACAATGACTCCCGGGCTCCCCAGACCCGCGCGGGTCACGGACAGCAAGAGCTACCGGGCCTGCGAGCGAGGGCTGGCGCTTCCCTGGAGCTCAGCGAGCGGCTGCTTTGGAGGAAAAACAGGGAGTTAGGAAGGGGCAGGAGTGTCTGCCGCCCGAGAAGGGGGAGGACGAGAAAAGGGTCTAGGTAAATCACAAGTAAGGGACTTGGCCAGGCACTCTAATTGAGACAGGTCGAGTGTGTGTTCTTGCTTTTCTTCGGACTCGTTTCTTTGGAGGTTTCGTATCAGAGAAGAGTGAGGAGTCAATAAGTCTGCAACGTGGTCATTTCAATATACAGAAAACTACGAACTTATCTCGGGAGCAGAAATTGAATAACTCCTTAAGGTAGAGAGCAAGTGTTGGAGTTGCAGTATGCATCTCTTGCCACTAATGTTTGCTTTTAGTAATAGAAAGGATAATTCTACTAATTACTTTTGCAAGAAAAATAAAATCATGCATAGGCTATTACAAGTTTATGAACAGATTACAAAATCTACTGAATGTGAGGTATTGGTATAGGAGTCATTGTCCTTTTATAGGACAGAAATGTACATGATAACAATGTTAAAAAATGATAGCAAATTTTATTGCTTCCGAAGAATTTTTCGTGTTTTTTTTACTGAGTGAATGTTTACTATCCTGAAGTGGCATTCCATCAAATTACACTCTAATTAGAGTTTTTAATAACCTGCTGCAACAGCAGCCAAAGTTTGCAAAGCATTTACTTTCAGATTTCAGAACCAAGAACTATACCTGAGCCTGGGCAGTTCTTTCAGAGCTTCTTGTCTCTATAATAAGCCTGTAACTCGCGCTATTTTTGTTACAACTATAATTAAGAAAGAATTTTAAAAAACCACCAAGGGAAACAGATGAAGAGGTTTCACTGTTTCCTTCACTTACTGCTAGTCTTACCATTTTAAACCTTGTGGAATGGCTGGTTTTAAAATCAGTGTGGTGGACATTGGCGGGAGTTTTTAGCAGAGGGTAATTGGCTATTTCTCCTGTTTCCTCTAGTGTCTTTGTAATACAGCACTGTGTTTAGAATTAAGTTGCTTAGTGCTATTCATTAGCAAAGAAAACCATCTTGAAATTTTTATGTATGGGCTTATTACTTCAAAATGAAGTACTATATTCTGTACCCTGTTGTGGAGCACAGTTTGGAGACTTTGAAAGTTATGTCTAACTGAAAAAGCGCTGCTGTGAACTCAGGTGGCCTCTAGACTCCCTGATGCACTCTTGCCAAGTCTGCTGCATTTTGTTTGTGGTTGCTGTTTGTCATCCATTACCACATTGTTTCAGGTGCTTATTTCTGGAAGTATGGTACTAGTTCTGACCTTGATTGCATACGTGTTGATTCATATATGTGTGCATAAGGCCACGGGACAGAGACAGCATAGTTGCTGCACACTGCAGCTCCATGAGGGAGATATTTTTTTATAACTTCAGAATCCCAGGATAGAAGGGAAGGAAGGCATTGCCTTTGGATTTTAAATGTCGAATTTACAGTTGTGAAGACTGATACAGGAGTGTGTTGAGAATATTTTTGGAAGATAGGTGTTTACCAGGCCTTTTGGGTTTTTTGTTGTTCTACAACTCAAGATGTGAAGCCACAGTATATTTTGTGGCTAATAAAACTTTAATAGTTTGGACCCCAGACAACAGTTTTGTCCGCTGAAACTGGTGAGAGTGATACAGTGTACCAGTGTGAGGTTTTTTGATGACTGAGGGCTCCTGGGTTGAAAGGAAAACAGCATGTCCATAGCATGACAGTAGATAGTTTATATGGAAGTGAGTGTTAGATGATTTATTTGCAACTCTCCTGATGCAGGTAATTTCATTGTTCTTATTTCTTCATTCTTTCAGCATGGTGGTAAACTCTGTAAACATTGTTTCTCAGTGCTGGCAATTACAAATTCTTTATAACTTTGCAAACAATGCACTTGGTGCCATGGTCTAGTAACCACGGCAGTGTTGGATCAATGGTTGGACTTGATGATCTTGGAGGTCTTTCCCAACCCGGTTGATTCTATAAAATTTATGTGGAAAACCAAGTGCCTTAGCAATATGTGTGATTTTATTTATCTGTTCTAAATTTATGACTTTATTATTCCACAGAATAAGATACTTTCTTATCTGCAGTATGAAATTAATGGGACTCCTGTGATTTACCCACCTACCCCCTTCCTTTTCCTGTATGGTTAAAGTGAGTGGAAGAATTGCCCACCTTTTGTAAGAGTGCTCTTTGCATAGAGGGGTGATGGTGCAGGGAGAGATGGATCTTGTAAAGAACTTTTTCTTTTGTTCTACCTGTCTGTGGGACACATTTTTATAAATAATTTAAAGTACATATTACCTTATTGTGTTGGGGCTTATACCACAGCTATAAAGACTAATAGAGGGTCTTGAGCCTTTGGGTCTGAAGTCATGTACTAGTAGACTTAAGTCTACATTTACATCAGACTTTGAATATAAAATATTAATAATTTTACATTGACTTTCCAACTCTTCAGATGCATGGCTGTTCTGCTTGTGTGCAGAAGAGAAGCAGCATCATCATGAGACAGATCTGGGTATGCAAACCAATATCAAGTACAGAAATGTTTCAAGTACTGCACGCCTGATATTTTGACATTTTTTCCTTTCACTTGTAATATTGGCTGCTGCAGTAACTTTTTAAGCATTTACTCACAGCTCTGTAGAAAATAAGTAGTCTGGCATTGCATTGATCTGTTCCCTTTTTGGTGAACTAAAAGAAAGATTTTTACTGTAGCAATGCTGTGTAATTGTAACTGTAACTTTGAGCTGTCAATCTATTGACCTTGATGATTATAGCGGTTAAACTGAGCTACACTGTCCATCTTTTCGAAGACATTTATGCACTTCAGAGGAGTTACTCTAAGTCCATATTGTTGAATGTTATGTATTTGTTAGAAGTAATTATTTGCTCTAGGTGGTAAGCGGTTCCGTAGTCTCCTAAAAGAAAAAGAAACATCGATCCAAAACCACTGTGGAGATACAGAAACATTTAAAGAAAGAAGATAAAGGTTGTGTCAAAAAGGTGTATCATAGGAAAGGTTGCAACTTTGCAGGAAAAATCAAGGGAGATCCACTTGCCTGTGGGGCTTATAGTAAGGCTTGGCTGGAATAAAGGTCTCAATTGTGCAGTTTCTTCAGGTTTTCTGAAACAGATAAAAGTGAAATGGAGTACTCTCTTGGTACTTCAAAATCACACACAAATATGCTGGGAGAGAATTATCAGTAGATGCTACTTCCAAATGTTCTAATGAATAGGATGAATAATTAAGAAACATAAACACTCAGAACAAAATATATGCAATTTCAGTTTAAATGTTATATAGCCTCTTAAGTAACTTAAATGTGCATATGATTGTTAATACATTTTTTATCCTGACGTCTTTGGTGACACACAACTGAAGTTCCTAGTTTATCAAATTTTACAAATGCTCTTTTTCCCAACTATTTGGTGACATTACAGGAAAGTTTTGTTATCTAACATTTTGTGTTTTTTATGTAAGTGTTTAAAAAGCCCAAACCACCAAACCCCATAGATTTCAGATTTTACTTGCATGCCTCCCCCTTTCACTTTCTGCTGGGGGGTGCGGAACAGGCTCGTTAAAGGATTTTATACAGGATATTCCTTTAAAAAAAAAAGTGTATCTTCAGATAACATATGTAAAAGTGTTGATATCATGAACTAAATTGAGACCATGTTTAGAGTATATATACCATCATGCTGTATTTCAGCATTTTTCAGTGTTTATAAAGTGTAGCGAGAATCAATTGCTGAAAGTTTGGGCTGTATGTGGCTTATTTTACTGTGTTGCAGGTGTGAAGAGGAGGTGGAGATAATGTTGGGAATGTTTCTCTCAAACGTGGAGGAACAGTTATTGCTTCTCATAGTATAGACTTGGACTTGCATTTAGCAGGCAGATAATTTGTTTTGATGATAGATTGCAAGCAGAAGTGGTTATGAGGGTTGTGGAATGGTTATTAGTTTGTTGGAAATAA